CTGATATCTGACACCTACCACCACTTTACTAAATACATGGAGCTGTATCCTGTCATTGTACTAAGACAGAAAAAAACACTACATTTTGCAGACACACAGAAGGGACTATTTAGATTTTTTCTTACAGCAGTGAGCACTTAAATAAATGTCTGGAATAGTACTGAAAGCCGGGATCTTCTGCACCATCATTTGTCTGTCTTTTCCTTTCTTATACAAGTGGATACAATCATTCTTTGCCAGTTTCTAATTGTTGCAACTCAGCTCATCAAGGGGGAAGGAGAACAAACTTCAAAACCCAGAAAAAACAAGTATTTTCTGTCGTTGGCTTTACCTCACCCAGCAATATTTACGGCAGTTGAAGACGAAGCCTTGGTTAAAATTACAGTAAAACATTTTCACATATTGAAACACAACAACTGGAAAAATATCTCAACAACCACAAGTATTCAGTATACTGAAGGTGAGGCGACGCCCACTTCCGATCACTACCTAGGATGCATGCGTTTTGACGTATCCAGCCTGCCTCACGGTAGCTTTGTTGGGTCTTTGTTTGGTTGATGTTTTTCTTTGTTTCGTTGTGATTTTGACCTGGTGGGACTGATTGTCCTGTTTTCGATTTTTCCTTTCAGTAGTTTTCTTTTCCTGTAGTCTGGTACTAGCAGTGGCTTCGACGGCCCTCTATAGGGTTGGGCCTCTGCTGTATCGTTTTGTTCTTTTTGATCGGCTCATCAGGTCCAACTTTCTGTTTATACTTTGGGATTGTTGTGTTCTTTTATTTTTTGGGACACGGGGAACCCTGAGGATTAATTCTCTCTTCCGTCACAGAAAAAAGAAGATAAAGAAAAGGTCCAGCGAGTTGTAAAATAAAATACGTTTTAATCCTCATTTTCGTCTTCGTGTCCTCAAATATGTTGTGCCCTTTGTGGACGTAACATATTTATGGGGGTTTACCTTAGTGACTAGTCGTGTCCTCAAATATGTTGTGCCCTTTGTGGACGTAACAAAGAGAGAACATGTAATCTCCACAGAGAAAGGCCCGAGCTGGGATTTGAAAAAGGAACTCTTTTGTTGCGAGTAATTCTGAATAAAATTACCCTCATAACTGATTCACTATGCTACAAATGTCGATGTGAGTGCAACCAACTCAGGTCCTATGGAAAGAACCCAAAGTAAAGGGTAGCCTGTCATGAGTTGTGCATTTTTGGTTCATGCTCTGTAAAATTTGTGGTTCTCGTCATTTCTGATTTGCCACGGTGTCATTTGATGGGCAACTGACATCAAGGCTTTAGGACTTCTAACACAATTCCTGAAGTACAGCAGTACAAAGTGCTGTGTATTAAAACATTCTTGTCAGATGAGCAATGATGTCTGAATCTACACATTCTATTCCTGCTTCACTCTAGGCTTTGTAAATTCAAAGCATTTTAGTCTTTCAATGAGTTTAATAAAACCGCTTGAATGTGTTGCCTTGGTTTGAGTACTTTAAAATACCAATTGAGATTCATCATTATTACTCTACAATGTTGCGTTGTAAGGATATTTTTGGAGACTGTTGGTGAGTTTAGTGATTTTATTACAGCATGGAAAAATACTTTCCAGGTTTTGGGTTCATTTTGATCTGATCCAGCCAAATACAGTAAAATCATATTTCTTCTCATTTCATACAAACATGTTTGTGAAATTAGAATACAGTAGAACCTTTATATACAAATTTAATTTGTTCTGGTACCTACTTGGTATGTTAATATATTCGTATGTTGGTTCAAATATTCCCATACGAATGCACTGTAATTCGTATAATTTGTTCCACAGCCCAAAAACCTACGATAACTCCTTAATAAATACTGCAGATAATTACACATAGCAATAAAACTAATGGATTATATGAGAGAGATGTAAAAATAAATCAAATAAATGTACATAAATTCACTCTTAAAATGACAAATATTTAAATTTTAGGGTTAACCCTTACCTTAACCCTTATCTCTTTGAGGTGTTTCTTGTGAATTGGAGAATTGTCATACAGCAATCAGACCTAATCTATGCAGAGAAATTTGCATGATGATGATCATGCAGGCGAGTCTAGATACAGTATATATATATATATATATATATATATATATATATATATATATATATATATATATATAGAAACATTTGTACTGTATCACAAACAGGCTTGAATTGGTTGCTTTGTATTACTTCTACCACCAGATGTCCCTAATTTTCATTACCATTTAGTGGAAATGCAAAAATTCTGCATAGAATAGGCCAGCCGAGTAGTGGAAATGTGCAACAGAGCTGTGGGAGCCAGAATTCTTGCCGGTTTGTATCTGATTGAAGACTTATTTAATCCAAGTAAATTATTAAATAATCATGGAATGTGATTTCTTTTTTCAAATTATTTCTCTCACAGTTGACGGAAGGATGAAGGATGAAAAATAAAGACCTCTTAATTTTTTGCACTGCTCTTGGCACCTCCATCAATTTTTCGTGAATATTAGAGCTATTTAATAAAATTCATTTCAAATAATAGGCGTGTCTGGCATGTTGTTTCTATGTCAGGTTGGGAGACGAGCCAGGAGAGCATTGCAAGTGTCAAGGCAGGACATAATGACAGCTGGGTGGACTGTAGGGTTAGATTGGATTCATGATGATAAACAACCATAACACTTCTTTAAATACCTATTGCTCATCAGTTTTATTCTAAAGACACAACATTCTTTAACTTTACAGGACCTCACCTCTCTGGATGAAATTGCAAAAACCTGCAGCCCGATAGAAGTCTGATTTCCTGCTTCTCTGATACCTCTGCGGACAGTTTCCAAACTTCCCAAAAAAACTAAAGTTTTGCATCGTTAAAGACTTGACCTGTGAAATGAATTTCCTTTCTAGATCTTGTGCTTTGCTGGGGTTTATCTGGTACCGATTTTTATGTAAGTTTTTTTCCTGTCCAAAGAGATTTTTTTCATATGTTATTGGATCCATGTTAAGTGTCAGAGAAATCTTATGGTTAATTTAGCCTTTTTTTTTAATCAGTACTCTATAAATAGCACCTATTTGTAATGTAATTAATTTATTTTGACTGGATCTGTTTAGTTGGCTACTACATCTATAGATTTAGTAACTTAACCAAAGGTCACATGTCTTATAATAGCTGTACCCCTTGTCAGCTGACCAGCCACATTGTCTGATTGCTGAACGGTACAGTTCCACAGAAGAGAAAAGAACATTTCCTCACAACATTGATTCAAATGTCCACTAATGATATTCATCTCAATATATTCTATATAACCAACAGAACATTTTGGTTTGTCAAACCGGAGAATTGAACAAAAAAGCCATTTCTGGGGCCCCTGTGCGTGTAAGCACCTCGGTCGGATAATAACTGAAAGTCAGTCTATGCATTTAAATGGAATAGACAGGTTAATACTTGTTGTTAACAGTTATGGAGAAAATCATGTGGAAAACACTGACATGGTCCACTGAAGTTAAGTCAGTCTGTCCAAAACACAGGCATACTGCTCGAATAATTTATTTTTATGACCCAAAACAAGATATAGGTTACTCAATAATCAACTGATATTTTTCATTCTTTATCTTTGGGAATTATTCTCCTTTTCCCGTGTTCCATTATCATCAGTCACAGAGGTCAGACAGCAGCACACCTACTACAACCTGAAGAACATCAAACTACTGAATGTTGTTCAGCTTTCTCAATAGAAACCATTGCTCTGTGTCAAAACAATAAAAATGACACACTGATCATGTCTGAATATATGTTACACAATTGTCACAGGCTTTATGGGTCCACAAACTGACTTGTTTATGAACTAGCTTCTGGCCCAAGGCCAGAGGGGCATTTTTAGAATGAGTAAATATAACACACTGACACACCGTGTCAGTAGCAACACTGCTCTGTTACCATGATTCATGAGCACATCCAATAACTACCATGCTTTTTTTTAGCCATACTTCCCTTTTATGCCTAAAAAACTCTGCTTGATTCATTGTAGTTGCTTTTCAAAGACTCTTGTCATTTACTTCTAAAAAATAGAACAGGAGCATCAAACTACAGACAAAGTGTATGCTAAACTAGTCACCAGTCAACAAAACACGCAGCAGATTGCCCACACTGATATTCATTCATCTGCACACATCCAGTTTGCTTGCTTGAATTAACAGAGTTCCTGGCCATTACTGCTGCACCTTCACTGAACCGACCTGTTGCTATGGAAGCACAATGTTTGCCATCAAGTCATCAATCCAGACCCAATCACTGCAGCCAAATGATGGTTCAGCATTTAAGACCCTCTGCTAAATAAAGAAATTAAAGCAGCCATACCAGAATTGTAAAACATCCTAGAGAAATGTAATGTTAGCTAATTAAAACTTTCCCATTCATGGACAACTAACTTCATTAGGCACCATAGGAGCAGCCTCCTTCTCCCTCAAACACAGCTTTGAACACAGAATGACGGACCAATGGGCCTGCTTAAGTTATCTCGTTTCTCCTGTTAATTTGGACCTCTCCAGTGTGAGCTGACTTTTCCATTGCACCAAGTTGCTTAAATCTGGGCATATAATGTAATGCTATTATTCCTCTTTACTGTGGTCCAAACCATATGCTAACCGGACTACATTCATTTAGAGAGAAAAACTGTTCAGAATAAATGGACGAAACTTTAATTTAACCTTTTATTCAATAATAATTGAGATTATTTTTACGATCAATAGTTGTAATAGATCAGTAGTTTATTCTTATAGTGAGAGTGAGTAGTTTCAGTTCAATGACCACTCATAACCGTCTAAAAAGATTGTTATAGCGAAGTAGCTATTTTGAAACGGGGTTAGGCTTATTATTGATATTATTATTATTATTATTATTATTCAACTGAGTCATCTAAACCCCCCCCCCCCGCAGCAGCGTGTAATCCGCTGGAAGCTGCATGCAGAGGTGACACGGGCAGTTAAGAAGTGGGACATGGAGTCTGTCTTACCGTACTTATTAGGCTCCCGGTCGTACTCCAGAATGGGAACCGCAGCGTCAGAGTCCTGCCCCCCCCCAGACTCCGCTGCCGGGTCAGCTGCCACCGAGTCCCGGCGCTCCCCCCGTCCTCCGTCCACGGGGATCACCACAAACCTGTCTCCCATCTCACCGCTGCGTCAGTCAGAGGACACCCGAAACAGCGCTCACCCGCTTATCAGGGACTGATCAGGGGACTGATCCAGCCCCCCCCCGCTTATGAGGGGGCTGATC